ACGTTGACGTGGTCGATGGTCAAGCCCTGCTCCGCTCTGGTCTCATATCGAACGCTGCCATCAGGACGCCGCACTACACGTCCCTTACGGCCCGTCATCTACACACACACACACACACACACACAGATATATTTAGCATTTAACTTGTGTAAAACAACATCACATTGTGAGTCTAACACACAGATGTGAACAAGCACCAAGTGTCTCAAAAAAATAAAAAATCCTAAGAGCAGTGTTATTTTTGTGTAATTTATATACTATTATAGTATTTATTAATATTTTGAATGAGCTTTTATTTTTATATTTTCAGTTTTCATTTTCACGTCATTTAAGTTTTAGTAATTTAGTTTTTTGTCATTTTCTTTTTTATATATATATTTTTATCTGTAATTTTTTTATTTATATTTATTTCAGTTGTAATTTTAGTTTTAACTTTTTCTATTTTAAGCAGTTGCCAGGGCAACATTTCTCATTTTCATTTAAGTAAAAAAAAAAGTTTCTTTTTAGCTTTAATTTATATTTATTTCAGTTGCAATTTTAGCAATTTTAGTACTTTCAACAAACCTTTTCTATATAAGGCAGTTACCTAATTTTCTCATTTTCATTTAAGTTTTTAAAAATAGATATATTTATATTTATTGCCATTGTACTTTTAGTAATTTTAGTACTTCAACATAAACTTTTTTTATTCCAAGTAGTAACCAGGGCTTCTAGCCTTCTTTCTTTTTCTTTAATATTCCTATTTAGCTTAAATGAATATTTAATTCATTTTTAGTTGTATTAATTGTAGTACTTAAACTTATTTTATTTCAGGTAGTTCCCAGGGCAACATTTCTTTGCAACATTTTCCAGGGCAACAAAACTTTCATTTAAGTTTTTTTAGTTTTCATGTAATACTGATTTTATTATTTAGCTATTTTATTAATAATTTATTTTTATGTATTATAAATTATACATGTAATGTATTGGATGTTTTTTTTTTAGTTTCTGTATTTGCTTATTTTTTAGCTTTATTTCAATTAACCAAAATTATTTTAAATAGTTTTTATTTGGTTTCCTGGCAGACTGAAAAAAAAATTGTCATATTTGAATCAGAGTTTGAGAAAACTCATCTTTCTTGTGTGAAATTTCCATCAGATGGTCTGTGAATGCTTAGATGTGCTGTCAGTGGTTGAGACTAAACGTTAGTCAGTAATATGAAAATTACAATGTTGCCGTCTATATTTAGTGTTCATGTAACTGTTTCAAACACACTTGTGAGCGACAACACGATGCACTGCAGTGACTCCTCACCTCAGACACCTTCTCTGGTCCTCCAAACCTGTCAATCAGCTCGTCAAGAGTGTTAAGCGGAAGCTCTTTCCCCAGCTCTGCTATTTTACCCAGCAGCCCCTGCTTGAGTTCTTCTAGTTTAGCTGAAAACACACAGAGGATGACTTCAGCAGAGTCTGGAACAGACCTTAATCACTCCTTTGTGGCTTAGCCATCTAGACTGAAATTAGCCCTGATTTAATAAGCGTGAGCTGCACTTCCTGAATGAACAGGACGGCGTGAGCAAATTCTTTCAGAACACATAGTGACAAGGTTGTAGGGCTGCACGATTAATCGAATGCGATTGTCATGCGTATCTTGTCAGTAAAGCCGGTTCTGTGATTAGTAGTAAATCTCCATCACGTGCTTTCAGATAGAGCAGCATTTACTACACAGAGCCGTAGTTCACTGACAAGCTACGCAAAATCGTGTTCATAATCGCAGACGATTTAATTGCACGATTACGAAATCAAACAAATCGTTCTGCGATTCTGAAAGCTGTTTGCGTAGCTCGTCAGTGAACTATGGATCTGTGTAGTAAATTCTGCTCCATCTGGAAGCACGTGAAAATACCACATTTAATAACATGTTTTTACTCCAAACTCACTTCATAACGTCAATCGAGTGTTTGAAGTAAATCCTTCTGTAAGATGATGTGGCTTCTTGCACAGAGTAAGGTGCGCAACATATTTCATAGTATTCTAAGCAGTGATAAAGGCTATGTCAATTAGCATTGCATTATTATAATTTTTATTATTATAATAAAGTATATAATAAGACAACTTGGATAAACCATATATTGTCGTGTTCATTAGTCACGTTGAATGAAAGCAGTAAAATCTTCTGTTTATTCAGGATTTCATGGATAACATATTTCATAGTATTCTAAGCAGTGATAAAGGCTATGTCGATTAGCATTGCATTATTATATATTTTATTATAATCAAAATTATAATAAGACGAACTCAGATAAACCATATATTGTCGTAGTCGTGTGTTTATTAGTTACGTTGAATTAATGAAAGCAGTTAAATCTTCTGTTTATTCAGCAACCGCTATAGGGATTTCCTGGGTTTCTTCTGCGGGGTGTATTTGGAGTTTCAGCGCAAGAGCACCCTCTGGCCTTCGGATGGAGATTTACTGCTGATCACGGAACCGTGCTTCACTGAAAGATACGCATGACAATCGCAGCTTCTGCCTAATCGCGATTTATCGCCTTTGTGATATAATTTAGATTAATTGTGCCGCCCTACTATGTTGCATTTAAGACAACCTACCAGCAGGCCCGTTGATGTGGTTCAAGAAAATCACATCGTCACTGTCCTGTAGCGATTCAGGGGAGGAGTCAGAGTCGCTGTCGATCTCATCCGAGTCGGAGTCTGAATCATCACTGATTTTAATAACCCCGCCCACTTCCACACGGTGCTTTGGAAATTTTGTAGCCCGGCCTCTGGGTTTTCCTTCAGAAAACAAAGAAACGGTTTCAGAAAGACCACAAACACAATAATGCATGATCCTCAAAGGAAAAGATGATGCGACTCACGTTTCCTCTTGCTTGCGGCGCTTTTCTCTCTTTTAGGTTTCTGTGTTGGGAAGTGTTTCTGAACTAATGACTGGAAAACCCCCCTACAGGACAAAAACCCACAAATCTCAACCCAGTTCACCTACAGTGACTCATAACCACAGAGCTATTCATCCTTTCTATATTGATTATTATATAATAGTTGATTCTTATTGGTCTATCTGTGATTTGCTGGAGATTTCAGGCTTTCCTCTTTGAAGAAGACCGTGGGAAATGGACTTTGAGACACTCACTCAGCAGCGGAGACGAATCTGTCCAGGCGTCCGTCGTTCTCGTCCAGGACCTCTCGAGTACGAGCCTCTCCAGTGGACTGCAGGCCAATCACGATGCACTGTTTGGAATGACACGGGAGAGAGGCGGAGCCACATTCGGCACAATTAGTGAAACACTTAATACAGGCTTCCCACAATGAATTAAACTTTCCAGTTAGGTGTAATTACATAACTGATTGATTGATTATTTTTACGGCATGTCAGCAGCAAGGCTATCTTCATGGCGAAAACAAAATAAATATCAAAAGTCATATAATTAACAAGAAGCTACATAAGACATTTAAGGTTAATACTAGACAAAATATCTAAAATACATTTAGGTGATACTTTTTTTAAATACTTGTTCTTCCTGATAAATATTGCATTTGCCATGTAAAAAAAGTGTCAGGTTTGCTGTGCTTGTTTGGCCCAAAATTTTGTAATTATATACTGATAAGACCATAAAATGGCAACAACAACAATAATAATTATATATTGAAAATACTATAAAATAATAATAATAATAATTATTATTATTATTTTATAGTCTTAATACATTATTATTATTATTTTATACATTTTCATTATATAAATCACAAAATTATTATTATTATTACTAAATGTTAAAAAATAAGAAATTAGAATAATATTATTGTAATATTTTATATATTACTATCGTATCGTATTTTTGTTTTCATTTAATTAAACTTGATGTAGCAAAATATCTAAAGCTAAAAATCAATAAAAAAAGTATATAGACATATGTAATACTAGAACTAAACAAAAACGACAAAAAAAACGACAAAATTAATAAAATATTATAATGAACATTTAAAATATAAAAATATGCACACCAAAGCTGCATTTATTTGATTAAAAAAACAGTAAAAATAACATTTTGAAATATTATTACAATATATTATTGTTATTTTATACTTTTTACATTATATAATCACAAAATTATTATTATTACTAAATGTTAAAAAATAAGAAATAATATTATTGTAATATTTTATATACTACTATTGTAATATGTAGTATCTTTGCACTCTGTGCATTCCGGTTCATGACAGTTAGGGTATATCGAAAAACTCCCATCTCATTTTCTCCTCCAACTTCAAAATCGTTTTAAATCGTCCTACATCGCCGTTTTACCGTTTTTTGTAAAGGGCTTTGACCTTCTTTGCATGTTCACTTTGTAAACACTGGGTCAGTACTTCTGCAGCGATGTAGGATGATTTTGAAGTTGTCACTATATAGAGAAAAACCCTGGAATGTTTTCCTCAAAAACCTTAATTTCTTTTTGACTGAAGAAAGAAAGACACGAACATCTTGGATGACATGGGGGTGAGTAAATTTTAATTCAGAAGTGAACTAATCCTTTAATGCTTCTCTTTAGTTTAGCAATCGGTTTATAAGTGCAGCCTTTGCGATTTGATAATCGTACTAAGTCATATGTGACCCTGGACCACAAAACCAGTCTTAAGTGTCAAATTTTCGAGCTTTCCATTGATGTATGGTTTGTTAGGATAGGACAATATTTGGCCGAGATACAACTATTTGAAAATCTGGAATCTGAGGGAGCAAAAAAAATCAAAATATTGAGAAAATCGCCTTTAAAGTTGTCCAAATGAAGTTCTTAGCGATGCATATTACTAATGATAATACATTTTTGATATATTTACGGTAGGAAATTTGCTAAATATCTTCATGGAACATGATCTTTACTTAATATCCTAATGATTTTTGGCATAAAAGAAAAATCGATAATTTTGACCCATACAATGTATTTTTGGCTATTGCTACAAATATACCCCAGCAACTTAAGACTGCTTTTGTGCTCCAGGGTCATATATCGTGATTTCAGCTTAATTTTGATTAACCGTGCAGCCCTATTACTGCGTAAGGATATTTAAAACCCAGTCAAACCTTTCCATGGATTTTCAACGAGCGAAAGCACAAATCTTAATCACTGACTCACCTTGCCGTGCTGCATCTCAGTATGAGCGAGTTCAACCAGACGACGGACTTTAGCGGCGATGCACAGGTACTTAAAAAACCTCTGGTGTGACGACCAGAACTGACCCCACAGAGACTTACGGGAGGCCATACCCAACGTCTTCGCAGCTGTGGTGAACAGCTCAAGAGCCTCGGCCCACTACACAGAGGAAAAAAAAGACTTTAACTTCCATCTAAAACATTATTTGGGACAAAAGGATTCAGCCACAAGTCCCCCAGGCTGTCTGTGTCAGCGTTTCTCTCACCAGTCTAGCTGCTTTGTTGTAGACCAGTTTGAAGTCTTTGTCCAGTGTAATCTCCTCTATACGGAAGGACACTCCGGAAAAGCTCAGCTGGCGTGCAATATACATGCCACTCACTTTCATATCCATGGCAACAATCTCCATGGCACCAACACCCCTGGAACATGAACATGAGCAATTGTTTTGTCAGATAAAAGGAGAAATGACTGCGTCCCAATTTGCCTACTTATACTATGCCCTAAAAGTATGTACTCTTTTTGTGAAGAAAAAGTACATACTTTTGAGTATGTAGAAGAATAGTAGGCAAGCTTTGGAACATACTACTTCGTCATAGCTGCTTCGTTAACGCACGCTCTGTTGCTTAGTTATGTGCATTCTGTCACTGTTTAAACTGCTCTGTCAATCATCTTATCACAGTTAACATCATCCACATTTCGTTTAATTTCATTTCCTACCGTATTGGAGAGAAATTAAAGAGATACGTTGATCTGCTAGTCGTGGGTCTATCATGCCGAGAACTCTGCTCATGTGTTTGCATAATGATGCATTAAAAAGTTAATGACCAAACATATCATTATAAAAGTTCAGTGTTGCTGCAGATGAAATATAACGTGGATAACATTAAATTTATATTTTTTCATCAGGTTAGACATTGATTATTTATCACTCAAATCCGTTTATCTACCTGTCCATTGGTCGCGTATATCCGCCATGTTTGTAGTTTTTTAACACTTTTAATGCGTGTTTGTAGTTCTAATTGAATCGTCGTCCACCGCGCAATGTGTTGTGGGCAATATTAGCCGTTAGAGTGTGCATCGATCTGCACTTCGAATTCTAACCGGAAGTAGTAGACCATCCGGGAATCTTTGGCATACTTTTTTTAAACATACTATGATTTGGGACATACTAATTCTATTTTCTAATACTATTTAGGACTGATAGTATGCGAATTGGGACACAGCACTGATCTCTGTGATACTGAGCATGACCTCTGACCTCTTCTCAATAGCATGCAGGAAGTCGTCAAACGTCTTGAATGGTGTTCCTTGCCCCCAGATCCCCAGTCGGCTCATGTATATCATATTCTTTGGCTCCGAAGCACCTGTAGAGCGAAAATGGTGTAGGCAGAAAACTCAGATCTCATGAATCCACAAAGACCAAGAGATCAGAATGCATGAAACCATAATGAACCCTTTTTATGGGGATTTGGCTACGGTTACTTTGGAAAATAACTAATCAACCAAATCAAAAAGATCTAACCATTAAAAAAAAAAAACCTTCGCAACTTAAAAAAAAAAAAAAAAAACTTTAACTGGAATAAAATAAAATATAAAAAACTTTTATTTCAGCTAGTCGTCAAGGCAACACTTTTCAATTTCATTTAGTTAAACGATGTACTAAAATATCTAAAACTATTATAAACTATTATAATATATATAGATAAAATATAAATATAAACTATTTAACTGTATAAAAAAATTAGACATGTAATACTAGAACTAACAAAAATTACTAAAAACAACAAAATGAATAAAACATAATGAAAATGAAAACTGAAAATATAAAAATATGCACACCAACGCTGCATTTATTTGATCAAAAACAGTAAAACTAATAATATTGTGAAATATTATTAAAAAAAAATGTATATTTTAATATATTTGAAAATATTTAAAGTAAATTATTTACAAATATTTATTCCTGTGATGACAAAGCTGAATATAGAAAGCTTCTGTAACATTATACACTACCGTTCAAAAGTTTTTTTGGGGAAAGAAATTAAATAAATTAATACTTTTATTCAGCAAGGACGCATTAAATTGCTCAAAAGTGACAGTAAAGGCATTTATAATGTTACAAAAATTTATATTTCAAATAAATGCTGTTCTTTTAAACTTTGCATTCATCAAAGAATCCTGAAAAATAAAATAAGTTACAGTTTCCACAACAATATTTGTCAGCACAGCTGTTTTTAACATTGATAATAATCAGAAATGTTTCTTGAGCAGCAGATCAGCATATTAGAATGATTTCTGAAGATCATGTGACACTGAAGACTGGAGTAATGATGCTGAAATTATGCTGTTATTTTAAATTGTAATAATATTTCACAATATTACTGTTTTTGCTGTATGGATCAAATAAAGGCAGCCTTGGTGAGCAAAAGAGACTTCTTTAAAAAAAAAAAAAAAACATTATAAAAATCTTACAAACACCCACCTGTGGCACTAGCATACACAACTCTCGCCCGGGGCAGTTTGTTCTGCAAGTCCAGGACAGCTTTACCCATCTTGGTGGAGGTCGCATTTTTAGCCTTATGGCACTCGTCAAACACAATCTGAGGTTAAAGGTCAAGGGTCAACAGCACTGCTACAATACTTTTGTTCATGCTTATTAAGAGTTAATTAGTATTCAGCTACTGTGTGAACTATGATGCTACACAGAGGTTAGCCAATCATAACACAGATCATTTGCATATCATGTTATTCTTAAAGGTAAAGAAGCAAAAACACCATGCAACCTTGTAAATAAGTCCCCTTTGAAAACAACGGACACTAATTTATGCCACAGAGGTTTACAAATACTGCTGAATGTTGATTTCCAGCTAAAGTCATTACTTTCTAGAAGATTTCAAATGCATGCACAAGCTGGAAGTGAAGGATACGACTCCATCGAAGTTGGGTTTGCACCAGTCCAGGATCTGTTTGAGTCTGGTGCGGTGCTGCCCGCCGGCCTGGCTCTCTCCAATCAGCGCTGAGTATGTGGCGAATAAAACGCCCTCTGAGGTAGCCATATCTCCGTATTTAATCTGTGTGAAAGAGGAAAAGCAGACATAGACATTTAATGACCCAACAAGAAATAAGTAACATGACTGAACCAAAGTCTCCAGACCAGAGCGCAAGAAAGCAAAATACATACAAGTAGATTTTTGAATATTACTAGTTCACACAAATATGTGACCCTGGAGCACAAAAGCAGTCTTAAGTCGCTGGGGTATAATAAATGAAAACATGGCACACAACTTTTGCTAATGCATACAACAGAAAACAAAACATTTTTAAAAGTAAGCTACAAAAGTGGCTGTGTGATTGTGATGCTCTCATGAGATACTTTAACATTTACTGGCGTATTTTTCATACCTTGTTTTTACCTCTATGAATACTGTATAACATCGTCACAAACATTTTTGTCAGCCGAAGCCCTTTGACATAAAATGCACTTGAAGTCCATCTGAGATATTAAGTTCATATTTCGACAATTTAACCATATATTCGCAGGTTCAAGGCAGTGTTGTTAACTGAAACCAAAACTAAAACGATTAAAAATAAATGTTGTTGACTGAAATAAAACATAAGTAGATGACAAATATAAACGAGAATTAGAAATGTTTAAATATTAAAAAATATATATAACAAAATAATCAAAGTACATAAGATTACTAAAACTAAATTAAAATGAAAATTGAAATTATAAATACTTTAATAGTATGTAAATAATTCTAAAATAACGCTGGTTCACAGTTCTCTGATGTCGGTTAATGCTCACACAAAATGCAGGTAGACAAATAAAATACAATATTTTTCACTATTCTTCTGTATTTTTATCCTGTTTTTATTGTAAAAGTTCAATAAACAAACTAAGCAAAAAAAAATACTTCTTAATATTTGAAAAAATAAAATATTTTTAGCAAGTTTTTTTATTTTGGTTGTTTTTATTTATTTTTTTGTTATTTATGTAAATTTGACATTGTTATGATTTAATTATTTGTTTTTCATCAACTCACAAAGCCTAATTAGATCCATCACGTCTGGAAAACCCTGATCGAATATATACAACACAGATGAAAATAAAGCAGAGATGATTCAGTTCACAAACCTTATTTAAAGCAAACACAGGGATGTTGGGAGCGTCTATGTCTCTGAGATCTCTCTCAGCATCGTACTTCAGGTCATTTGACACACTGAACCTAAAATATCCAGAAAAATCCCTCTGTTATGCATCAATTCATCAGAACGAATAATGAGTCATGACTGAACGTGAACATTAGGGATGCATGCGGGTGTTTACCATAGTGCTCTCTTCCGTCCCTTTAAGAAACTCTCCAGTATGATTCCGGCCACCGTGCGGCCCTTCCCGACGCCGGCTCCGTCTCCGATCAGAAACCCTGCTCGCTGACCGTTCTGAAGAATCACCTCGTGTTGCTGATGAGCACGAGCACAAAGGCGATTTCATACATTCACACAAAACTCATCAGTGAGTAGGGTTGGGAATCAAAAATCGATTCCGATTCCAGAATCGGAAAGGTTTTTTTTTCTTCATCTGTGAGGACCGGACCTAGCGATCTGCCAGGACCTTGCTCGCTAATCTAAGCTCTCCAAAGTTTGGCTACGTTTGCGATCAGAAGCCAAAAGAGCTAAGTATAATATCTGTGATAGCTAAACATGTTGCAAGAGAGGTGTCACCACCAACATGACAAAGCACATTAATTTAATAGATCATTAAAGATTGCGAACGCGATTCAAACACCAACGTGAGTCTATTCCTAAATTACAATGATTCGTCTGTTTCATTCATCAACCTTTGATGTGTGCAATCAATGTTGTGATCACATGGTTCGTCCGTGCAGCGTACGATCACATCAGTGTGATCTGAACATAAATCTGCGTTCACGCTGCCATTGACCTAAAGAGAGCAGCTGTCATCTGTCATGAATGAAACGGCTTCACAGTCTTTTCAGACACACAGTATCATTATTTCTGTTACAAACATTCAAATCACAGAAGTACTGGGATAAAAGTTTAAAATGTATTTGTCTTTGAATCATACAAGAGATTAGTTCAAGAACGCTGATTCATCCAGTAATGAAACGAGTACATCTTGAATCATTAATTCAAAAATTACATGTGATTTTGTTTAGTTGTCTAATGTTTTTTTTTTTTTCAGAATCACGAGAGAACCACAACTTCCATTGTGGGAAAAAAACAAAAAAACTCAATTTATACAGAATCATGCAGTTCTATTTTACACACAAACAGCTCTTAAAGAGTCCAGTTTTTATGTAGCCTGTTGATTTTTGTTCATGGTATTCAGCTCCAATAAATGGTTTGCAAAAAAGAGACACAGGATAAATGTTTGATATCATTATTTAATCACATTGGAATCAAAACTGGGAATCAAAAAGAAATGGAATCGATAAAATTCAAACATTAGCCAACCCTATCAGTGAGTGGAAAGAGAAGAGCAGAGAGAGTACCTGGCAGGCGTAGATGATGGCCTCCAGCTGCAGGGCGGACAGCAGGCCGGAGCTAATGCTGCTGGGGGGAATGGACAGTGTGTAGGTGATGTCAGGAGGAGGAACGCTGGACAGTGTGTTGGTCTCCACCACGATGTCAGGGTGAGAGACTCCTATAGTAGCTGCACATGTGAACAGAGCAATTATTTGCCACGGAAGCACCACAAAATATGAAATCAAGTTGCATTTGTGCTGTAAGAGGGATTGGGCAGCATGATTTTTATTCATTTTAAAGGGGTCATGAACTGGCTTTTTTATTATTTTGTACTGTTCTCTGAAGTCCACTTATAATGTTATCAAGATTTTTACATCAAAAAACATCATAATTCAGAAGTAATAGGCTATTTTCTGTCCTGTTTTGACCCTCTCTCATCTGATCGCTCTGTTTGAATAGGTGTGGTGGATTGTAGACTCAGAAGTAAACGTTCACTGCTGTGATTGGCTAACAGTTGTGTGTGTTTGACAGCTACATCCTTCACAGATGAGCGCTGCTGTGATTTAGGTTAAAAACGCACAAGTACATGTCAAACGATCTGTAATAACAAAGCAATAGTGAGCACGTAATAAAAACAGTTCCTCACACTTGTGTGGTGCGACATTACTGTCAGATCCGATATATTCAACACAGCATCGTCTTTTAGTTTCAAAACATGTAGACTAAACATGTAGTGATTAAGAATCGTTGGGCGGGGATAAACAGGCAGTGATGTAGAACCAGTGGGTGGGGCTAAACAGGCAGTGATGTAGAATCGGTGGTGGGGCTAAACATGTAGTGATTAAGAATCGTTGGGCGGGGATAAACAGGCAGTGATGTTGAACCAGTGGGCGGGGCTAAACAGGCAGTGATGTAGAATCGGTGGGCGGGGCTAAACATGTAGTGATTGAGAATCGATGGGCGGGGATAAACAGGCAGTGATGTAGAACCAGTGGGCGGGGCTAAACAGGCAGTGATGTAGAATCAGTGGGCGGGGCTAAACATGTAGTGATTGAGAATCGTTGGGCGGGGATAAACAGGCAGTGATGTAGAATCGTGGGCGGGGCTAAACATGTAGCGATTGAGAATAGGTGGGCGGGGCTAAACATGTAGTGATTAAGAATCGTTGGGCGGGGCTAAACAGGCAGTGATGTAGAATCGTTGGGCAGACACGATGAAAATACACACCGTGAACACACACCCGGAGCAGTGGGCAGCCATTTATGCTGCGGCGCCCGGGGAGCAGTTGGGGGTTCGGTGCCTTGCTCAAGGGCACCTCAGTCATGGTATTGAAGGTGGAAGAGAGCGCTGTACATTCACTCCCCCCACCTACAATCCCTGCCGGTACGAGACTCGAACCCACAACCTTTGGGTTACAAGTCCGACTCTCTAACCATTAGGCCACGACTTCCCCTGCTTTGGGCCGAAAGTAAATCTTGCATTATATTAAACTATATTATTTAAAAAAAATTTAATTCACTTATATTCTCTACATTTAAATGCAAAAATTAAACAAAAAAAAAATTAATAAAAATAAAAGTTTAAATTAAGATACGCTTTAACGTCATGTTTTTTCCCCCATTTTTTTCCTACTATATAATAAAATAAAAAGTCAAATAAAATCATATGTATCTCAGATTATTTTACTTAATTAGACAGCATGGGGCACACATTAAATAAGGAATTAATACTAACAAGATACCAATAACCAGGGAGGAAAAAGATTTTATGCATAATGTAGGACTTTTAATTATAAACAAGTCCAAAATACACCGGGACTCTTATTTTGAAATGTTTGTGTTGCTACTTCCAGCTGCTCATTCAAAAAGATGAAAAGGATCAAATATGGACTTTCAAGCATCTACAACATATTACAGTATAAACACTATAAAACATTGTCATTATGCATTAACAGTACATCATAAGCAATTGTTTGGCATAAATGCATGGTATTAATTGATTGCGAGCCTGTAGCACATGAAACTGCGCAGAGTTTTGACTTTGAACGCGCAGCGCTTGGATTAATTTAATTAAATCAATGCTTTTTGAAGTTTAATAATCACATTAGGCTGTATCGTGATTACTGTTATTCAGTTTCTAAATTTAAGACCTCCTAAATTGATAATTAAGACATTTCTATACCATTTAAACCTTTAAAATATTACAATATACCATTTAAAATATTTGAGAAGGATCTTAACACGGATCCACAAGGATCTTAAAATCACTACGTCATGTTATACACCATTACCAGGATATAAAAATACAAATTTGGCTCATACTGCCCACTCATGTGCTGTAGATTAATATGATACGGCATGTCTATTTACATTTGGATGGCTTGTATTCGGCGTACGTGTCCGCATGCCCCAAATCCTCCGTCTCTTCCTCATCTGCCTCCTCCTCTTCCTCCAGTGGCGGCGGAGGAGCAGCAGCCTGGAGAAATTAAGGAATGAAGGGGCAGAAAACTAAAAATGATGAAATGTGGTGAAACAGAGGATAGAGTATTAGAGAAAAAGAGGATCTACCTTAAATCCTGCGACCGACGCAGACAGGATAGGTGGATCCAACCTACCAGGAAACGCCCTCAGGTTCTGCTGAAGAACACAGATACAGTGATGTTGAACACTCGTATGAAATTTACACAAGAGAAATGAGACTCTACAAGCTAATATTATTGACAACACATATAAACTTTACTGGTGGTGAGTAGTAAAGGGATAGTGCACCCAACAATACAAATTCTGTCATCATTTATTCAACCTCAAGTTGTTCCAAATCTGAGTTTCTTTCATCCGTTGAGCACAAAAGAAGATATTTTGAAGAACGCTGGTAACCAATTAGTGGATGGTAGCCATTGACTTCCATAGTATGGAGACAAAAATACTACGGCAGTCAATGGCTACTGTTTTGGAACAACTTTTTTTTATTTTTGGGTGAAGACAAAAAGACAAAAATAAATAAATAAATAAAATAAAATAATATTATTACAATTAAATATATATATA